TAGCAGGAGAAAAAGGAGACTTTCACTCATGGAACAAGTTACAATCTTGTTACTTGCCCCCTCACAGGGGCAGTTCTACCTGTCCTATAGGATAGAGTCATTATGAACCAGAATTGACTCTGTGGCAGGGAAGAGGAGGTAGATATAATTTCTGAATATGTACAATATATGACATGTACTAAGCTGTAAGATGTAAAATCATTTTTATGCAAACATAACATTAACTTTACCTTACTTGAACTTAATTTAAGGGTATTTCATTACATGAGGAATGAATAGATTTCATACTTTAATCCTTAAAAATATAAGGGAAATTATTATCGTAGCTTATTAGTTATACTATTTTTTTATACTGAGTAATATTTTAAAGATAATTGGAAAGTCCCTCACAAAAGGGCCACATGGAAGGGATGATATATCCATGGTGCAGTACAGCACTGATGAAGCACACAACTATCTTCCAGTTCTTAATATTTCCTCCCCAACTAATATGGTCTTAGTTTTACCTCATCTTGTTAGACCTGCGTATGTCCATTTGTATAATATAGATCATTCGATGTGTGATATCTAAGACAGGTAAACCCTTCAGAAATAGTAATGGGAGTAATAATGATTCCCTGAGGGTACAGGTAGGGAAGAGGAGGGAGGAAGGGGAAACCTATAGTAATGATGACTGTGCAGTGCTACTCAAGGGAATGAATAGCAGAACTGTAGATGAACAGATGCATTAAATGGTGTAAGATTAAGACAAATATACATAACATAACAATAAGGGTTCCTGGGAGATAGGGTGGGGGAGGAAAGAGATAAGAGGAGCTGATATCAAACAGTTCAAGAAGAAAGAAGATGTTTTGAAAATGATGGTGGCCGCAATTGTACAAGGACTGTGATAATATATGTAAAAGCTCCCAAAAATATAAAAATAAAAAGGTTTTCTGATAAGTGTGCCATTAAATGCTTTGGAAATCTTCCAGGTGTAAAATGCAGCAGGATAAAGAAAAACCTAGATGCTCTTATTGAAGTAGATAGAACATGAGTTTTAAGTATACCATTGCTGGCCCCAAAAGCACTTTGAATGCACCAGCAACTCCATGGGAGAACGATGCAGCAGTTCTGCCATGAAGATTTATAACCTGGGAACGAGTTCCACTCTGCCTCAAAGGGGTGCAATAAGCCAGAATCCATTTGGTACAATGGGTGTGCTGTGTTTGGTTTATGAACTTGGCTGCTAAGCAAAAGTCAACCCAGAGACACCTCGATAGAAGTTCTGGTACTCTCCCTCCAAAGATGCAGCCTCTAGAAATGTGTGGAGCACAGGTTTACTGGCAGAGAGGGTCACCTCCAGTCAGCATCAATTGTGCGGCACCTGGTGTGGACTTTTGGTTTAATGTTTTTTACAAGTAAGTCACAGTGTTAATAGTTTGACAGATGAGTCTAGAGATAGCTTGTCATGCATGTCAAAGGTGTTTTATTTCCCCTCCGAATAAGAAAACAAACAAGGGATCTCCTTGGAGAGGAATGTAAAAGGAACCTGAGGAAAAAACTTTATACTTTTGTTAAACTGATGTAGCTCATACAGCAGTTTTCAAAGGACAGTGGGGGGAGATGATAGCTTTTGAAAACCCATGAGTAAATTACTAATACTGCAGGGACGGTTTAATGAGCTATTTACTATAGTATACTTACAAATAGAGGAACATCTTACTATAATAATTCTTAGATCATCGCGCTTGGATGCCTTTTAAAATTTAGAAAATTTTATTTCACTGACCTTGATAGAAAAAATATTCTAAGTCAAGAGAGACATTTTAAGTTAATATATATATGTATATATATGAAGTTATACAGTATTTTCAATCATTTT